GTTGTTAGGACATATTCTAAAAAAATTTTTTTTGTAAATGGTAAAATCAGTTCAGTCTAATGGAAACTCCCAAATCTAAAATTAGACGCTACATCTCTAACAATGAAATGAATGTGGAAAACATTTCAACTCCTAAATAAATAAAAGTTTTCACACGCACGCAATTAGCTGTAAAACACAAGTGAAACATACAAATAAATAGCAAAGCTAAATAGTTTACGAGTTGTGCTAATTGTAGCAGTTATCTCGAGTTTTGTGACCCAGTTATGCGTCGGCGCACACGTTCGAGGAGCGAGGGCAATGCGCAGGAAAATGAAACGCCCTGTATTATGTTTCTATTTGTCTCGTTGTGTGTGTGTGTGTGTGGCCTTGAGTGTAGAGGTTTCCATCAAGCGTCGACTCCATGAGCATTGTTGTCTGATTAAGTACTTGTTTAATAATTTATTTTTATACTCTGGTTGTTTTTGTTTCGCCAATAAGACCAATGTTGGTTCCAATGTTTTTGTAGTAAGGATCTGGTACCACCAACCTTGATGTGAGCCAACATTTTTTTGAAGATTATATCTAATTTGTTACGTGGTAGGAAGATAATAATTTAGGTAAATGACTTATCGAATTCCAATGGAATCTTTTTTTATTTACACCTTCATAAAGCGGTTCGGTACAATAAGGATAACGAATTTACAGATTAGGGCTACTATTAAATATTTGACGACAGATTTATTGATTGTCGTTGAAGTCTACAGCCGTCAGACGCTTCAAGTGCCTCTTGAATATAAAGTAGGGAACACAAATCGGTACTCTTATGTCTTATTAGTTTGAAGTAGGTATCTTCAATGTAATTAATTATGTCTGTCATAACTTGGGAGTACTTGAAAATTCACGAAAGGTCACGATATACATTGATCTAGCTTAAAATAATAAAGTATAGTTACGTTTTGTATCGTAGTGTCTTTTTTGAGTGGGGAAAATCATCCCATGACATTTCCTGCCCTTGGATGGAGGAGTGTCAGAATGTTATTGATAAAAAAAGCCCTGTAGGTACATTTTCCGACTCCGAGCCGCCTGCGGTACTTCAGTGCGCTTTACCCTTAAAAAGTCAATGCAGAACCAGGATAGACTTTTTTAAGATTAGGTTTTTTTTTTGTGAGGGGAAAATCATCAAATGACTTCTCCCGCCCATAGCGTCAGACTCTTACTGACTAAAAACCCCCTGTTCCTTCTCCTGCTCTGGGCCGAGGTCGCGGTGCCTCATTGCGCTTACCCCGCAACCTCGGCTGACTTTTTTAAGATTAGGTACTGTTTTGATATAATGAGCAATTTTATTGTCTCTAGTAGAAGGTATCATTGCAAATATCATTTAAAATGTAACTACAATGTTCTTTTGCCAGCTTCCGTCATCCATATACTTGTAACTTGAGGTCTTGTGAAATTGTTCCTGAGGATTTCCTCCACGATTCATATTTTGGCCTAAAAGCACATTAAGCCTTAACTAATTTCCAATTTACTGCAATTCTGTTACTTTGTTCTAAGGTTGAAATAGACTAGAGTACTGTATGTTATTTGTGGTTTTAAAACTCTTGGTGTGGACAGATGTTTCTATGTTAAGGAAAACATTATTGATTACACCCGGCCGTTTGAAGGTATTCCACATAGTTGAAGAAACCAGTTCGCATAGAATTTTGCTATTCATTACTTATTTACAAGTGTATTTGAATTACTAGACTAGTTTTCTGCCTTAATCTGCCTAAGCTTCGCACCATACATGGCGAAATGTGAAAAACTAAACATAGACCGCCTAAGAAAATTGGGAAATTTTAGAGTTTGACCTCCTTTAAGAGCTTCAGGATTAAAAATTAAAACGATATTTCGCTACTGTTGCAAGCATCATGATCGCGAACGAACTACTTCCAAAATCGATAACGAACTGCACCAAAAATAAAAAAAAATTCGATAGATAACATCTATAATCGAAAAATGAAGATTAATATTTAATGATTCCATTTTAAATTCTAAAGGTAACCTTTTTATTTTTACCTACCCCAAGAATAGCCCAACACAGACATTAAAGAAATATTTACTCATGATGAGGTTGTCACCTCAAACACCCCAAGGTTACTTGATTTTTGTAGGTTATGTAAATCAATTTTTTTGTTGGAAAGGCTTGTGTTAGTCCATTTAGAAGGAAGGCCTTCCGACGTGCCTTGAACCCTTTTGCTGATGTCCTTCAAAAAGGTCAACTGGACCTTGTCTTTGAAGAGGAAAACGCAAGTGGTGGCTTGAAAGTCCGTGTTAGTGGAAAACTTATGTTTTTGTGTGTGTTGTATGATCTGAATCGTAATATAACCAATCTGTATGTGAAACTGATTTCAAAAGATTAACCATGGAGTTTCTTGCTCGTTCTTCTCCATCGGAATCTACACTTTGGAACGACCAGCGATAGTCTAACTAAGAGGACTGATCGACAGACTTATACTTAATCTTTAAGTTTTGTTTGACGTTCAAAAGTACTTGTATGGGTGTAATTGAAATAAATGACTTGGACTTAGAAAGTTTAAAACTAATAATTTGATTTTTTTTTCGGTTCTATTTAGGAACACGTTTGTGATTGGTGTAACATCTTTAAAGTTATTTTTTTTTGGAGATATTCGCCAAATATGTTTTTTTTTTTCATTCCGATTACATACAGTACCCAATAAATCAGTCGAAATCTTTTAAAATTATCCAGTTTTCTTATCATTAGATTACTTGCCGCTATAATTTACGTCCATATCGCGTGTTGTATTAATATTTGCACCTACTGTTGACGCTATCACATCTAAAAGGTTATAACTCTGCTAATTATTATAAATGAATATGCTAAATAATGAAGTTAACATGGCCGGTACTGCTAGCCGTCAATTTATTTGTTATCGATGCAAAGTCCAATATGTCAATGTTTACCAGATGGCAAACAGTTTTAAATTTTTGTTCGTGGCTTTAAACCTGGAATGGAACTCATTATGCTGATATGAAGAAAATTCATTCTTTATTAGTTTTTTTTTTAAAGCATCAAGAAAGTGCAAAATAGTGCAGACAGGAAAGTTCGCCAAAGACAGACCAATTCATAAATTATGAAAAAGTCGAGAAAGAGAGAGAGAGAGGCGCAGTTGAGAAAAGAAAGAGAAAACTTGAGAAAGGCGATTGTACTTTAACTCGACTGCATCATAGTTTATAAAGAGCTATATTCGATTTAAAATGCTTAGGTATTGTTAAAAAGTTTCATAATTGCTATTTAAAACATTGTAGCAGGTTTACATTTTAATAGTATGGTTGTTATCGCGGAGGAAGCCGGTATTTGTGATAAGAGCGCCATATAACCACTAAATGATGTAACACTTTATAATCAAGCCAAAAATTCATACCTTAAAAAAGTCATTTTCGCTTTTCTATTAAGGTTAAAGAAAAATCGTTGGATTAAGGATTAGGTACCCCTGGTAATTAGGTTTTCAGTTTAATGCCTTGTTTGTGATGACAAATCAATCAAGTACATCTTCTGCTTTGGGTGGGACGTGACGTAAGAGGGAGTAACAGGCTCTTACCGTCTGAAATCAACATGTTTCATCTCTTGCTTTGAGCCGGGCTGCGTTGCGGTACTACGGTTATCATTGCGCTTGGCCCGTAATTCCGGCCACACTGGTATACTGCTGTTTTATAGCGGTGATAGTGAAACTCAATGTTTTTATTTTATGTATTTTGTATGGTAATTTTTAAAGAATATAAAGAGTAAAATTAATATATTGCATTAGTGAATCGCATGCATGAGGGTGCTGGTTCGACACTTGGCAAGTACCAATATGACTTTTCCGAGTTAAGTGTGCTTTCTATTCGTGAAGGAATACGTTGTGAGAAAACCTGTACTTACTAATTTCTAATTATAAGTTGGAAATGGCTCATCGATCTTGAGCAAGCGTTGTGATGAGTGCTCAAACCTTCTGCGTATGAGAAGAGGCCTTTGCTCAACAGGGGGCACTAATAGGCTGATGATGTGTTTGATGTGCATCAGTGAAAGTGAAAAATCGCGTTTTCGTGTTTAGTTCAACTTTCATGAAACATCAAGAAAAATCATCATTGACATCAGCTTTGGCAGCTGAACCTTGGTATATTTAAAGATATTCAAGAATCCGGGAAATGACATTATGAAGAAGTCTATTTCTAACCTAGACAAGACATCATTGTCATACTATTTGGAAGGACAGAAGTTAATAATATTTTACATTCATTCTAAGAAACTAAATAACTCAACGAAAAAATGATGATTACTCCACTTATTTGCTTTATGTTTGAAGTATCTTCGAACTAGCATAAATACTATATTTAGGGTCCAACAACTTTTGCAATATACTTATTAATTACTAGCTACTCTCGCGCGGTTTCACCCGCTGCTAGGCTCCATTTAATCGTAGCGTGATGTTTTATAGCACTCAGGAACATTGTAGCTATCTATAAATGAAGAATTTTGGCAATCCGACCAGCGGTTCCAAAGATTAATCCCTACATACAAACTTACAAATTTTACCTCTTTATAGTATTAGTGTAGACTACCTTTAGCCCACGACTTCGTTCGCCTGGAATAGAGCCTTCCTGCTGATTTTTGGCTTAAAAACTATCCTATGTCCTTTCTTGAGTTCCAAACTGTGTCTGTACCGAATTTCACACAAATAGGTGTTCAGTAGTTTAGGCGTGAATAAAAGACGGACAGACAGACAGAGTGGCTTTCGCATTTGTAATATTAGTTTGGATTGTTCGAAATGATTAGTTCTATCAATGAGAACCATTTTTACGTTGGCCTATACTTTTAGAAAATTACCAAAAATAATAACCTCCTTTGACTGTTAACTCTTTAACTCCACCGATTTTAAAAACATAAAAGAAATGAAAATCATTTTTTGAGGTATAGGTACAGTTTAAAAATCAGATAAAATTAGTTCGTAGCCATATTTATGGGATACAGGCCAATAATGAAAGTACCAGTTTTAAAACTACTACGCACTACCTTTATAAACGCCGTGATTAAACCGTAAGTCAATGTTATTGCCCGAGTTCCATAAAGACCATAAAATTGTTGCGTCTCTGTGACGTAACTTCCTATATCTGGATAAAAATTGTACCAAGAAAAAGTTAAGATTTCTATTCGACTTATAAGAAACATGCCATAGAGCCAGATAGGTTCAAGTTCATCCAGGGTTGCTGGTGTAAGTGTACCGCTGACCCGGTTCGAGTAAAAAAGGGACGGGGTGGTTTTTAGATAGTAAGAGCCTGACACTTCCATCATTTTCCACCTCGAACCTTTCAAATTTCGAATGATAACTCGTTTAAAATAAAATTCAATATTTTTTCCACTTTTGATTTTTTTGATAAAGCAGTCGTTTTTCTTATTGTATCGATTTAGTATTTAAAAAGCTTATTAATTAATATGGTTAATAATAACTTGTTAAATTAGTGTTTTGGTCATGGATCGAGATATAGTTTTTGATTATTTAATAAAACTCAAGCAATATTCAACCTTTTCTATGTCTTTGTCTATTGTTCGGTACAATATAGTACCATAAAACATCTTTTTAATTTCTTTCCTCGTTCCGTTTCCCTTATTTCATAACACGGCCATAATTTTTATGGATTTACTACGTGACAAATGGCTGAACGCAACTTGTACTACGCGTCAGTCGGTCCCATAATATTCGACCTTCATAGTAGAGGGTACATCAGGGATGAGTCATGGCTTTTCATAATATGGCAGTACTTCTATGTTGTGCCTGTTATTATTAATACTCACATTATTTTCTGGTAACAGAGTTGATAAGTATTACAATGTTTTGTTTAGAGTGGAAATCACATTTCGGTAAACGAAGTGTAGGTACGGTGCCCTCCAGTTAAGTGAAGTGACGAGATTCCCATAGTGGCTGACAGTGGCGGGATGCGGACGGCAGGATCGAATTCTTGCTATTGGAGAGACCTATGTCCAGCTATATAGGGAAATGGAGTAATTATCAGTGTGTTTCCAATCTTTTGGGGATTATGATTTCGGTTATTTAGGGATTGGGACACAATTGTAGGAGGACAAGGATACTCCGTTAATCTCACTCACACATGGTTTCACGCCGGTTATTTCACTCCGGTTGACCCGACCCATTCGTGCATGGATCTTCCACACTTAACATGTTTTTGTTTACAATTATGTTGTCTCGATCAAACAAAGTAAATACGAAATACTTTATCAATGTCGATTCTTTAAACTTACTCCATATTACAGTATTTATAAAAGGAAAGTTTAAAAATGGCTTCTCGCGTAATGTGTAAATATTTGGCAAACGCGAACACACCTTATTTTAATTTTAGTTAGCTAAGCACATTGCCCTACACTACGTATTTTCTCATGCCGTCAATTCCCCTCAACACATAGAGAAAATAGCAGTCTTTGAATTTTTTTTCTTATTTTACCAAAAATATAAATACTTGTCCCGATTAGTCAAATCAATTCACGCGCAGAATCTCGATACTGTTGGACAGAGACGCACTTTTGATCTCGTCGTAAGGCCGTGGGTAATTTTAGAGGCGCAACAGTGCAATGACCTCGTGCAGTCGCGAACACGTGGTACTTACGTAATCGTGACACACGTGACGATGACGATTCGTTCACGTCACTAGTTTGAACATAGGTAGCATAACATTAAGGCTAAGAACTCACGGAGCGATTTTGAACCGTGCCCGCCGCGGTAGCGGAACTGCGGTTTTATTTCCAAACTCACGAGACCGGTTATTTGCGCGGTTACACAGCCGCCGCGGTTGCGATCATCGCCCGCAAACGTGGCGGGCGATGATCGCAAGATTGCAAGACGGGCGGTTAACGATCAGTTCAGGTCCAGACCGCCATGGACACACACCAGAAACGAGCCGTTGCGTTATATTTACTTCACAGAAGACTCGCCGGCCCCCGCGGTCGCTCGCCAACCGATCGCAAAGCGCGCGGGTGCCACCCGCCGAGGCTGCGGGTAACCGCGGCCCGCGCGATTCTACTAGTTGCCCGCCGGTACAGCGGGAGCCGCATACAACCGCGTACACCGCGGGCGTAAAACGCGTCGTGAAATGTGCTTTAATTTTTTATATAAATATTTGAATTCTACAGAAGCTGCGGGCCCGCAACCGCAGCGGACGCGGGCGAAAATCGCTCCGTGAGTTCTTACCTAAGAACTCACGGAGCGATTTTCGCCCGCGGTGTACGCGGTTGTATGCGGCTCCCGCTGTACCAGCGGGCAACTAGTAGAATCGCGCGGGCCGCGGTTACCCGCAGCCTCGGCGGGTGGCACCCGCGCGCTTTGCGATCGTTTGGCGAGCGACCGCGGGGGCCGGCGGGTCTTCTGTGAAGTAAATATAACGCAACGGCTCGTTTCTGGTGTGTTCATGGCGGTCTGGACCTCAAGCGATCGTTAACCGCCCGTCTTGCAATCTTGCGATCATCGCCCGCCACGTTTGCGGGCGATGATCGCAACCGCGGCAGCTGTGTAACCGCGCAAATAACCGGTCTCGTGAGTTTGGAAATAAAACCGCAGTTCCGCTACCGCGGCGGGCACGGTTCAAAATCGCTCCGTGAGTTCTTAGCCTTAGCCTAAGAGTGTAGGTCGTTGACGTTTAGGCAATGGATTTTGCAAAAAACAATTAACTAACTTCTGATATTTCGTTTTTTTAATACAATTTCCTGTACTGGTTATCAACACCAGTTATATTATAAATGCATTTATTTAATTTCAAATATACAAAATCCAAAGTTTTCGTTAAAATTTGTGCGGTGTTCGTGGTTTTCTTTTTGCATCAAAGCTAATCAATTGAATATACGAATTCATATACTTCTCGTAAATAATTTTTATTTAGTTGTAAATAATTATTTTGACCAAGGGCTGATTTTTCAATAGTCAGCTAAATGTTATCTGAGGAATAAAATTGTTGCTATCACTGTCTTATAATACAAACATTCTGACGCGACAGCATCATACCTATTTATTCCCCGGGTAACTTTTATGTAACCATTGAAAAATCAGCCCTAAATCAGTTTATGATTTTTGATGCACAGATGTTATTATATTTTGTGCCCAAAAAGAAAGCAAAATATCGAAGTTATTTACAATTTGGCTAGGTTCGATGTCTGTTAGTGTTGTAGTTACTTAAAAAAGAGCGTTGAAATTACTTGCTGTAGATGATAAATCATATTTTTTATAATTTAAAACAATGAATAGTGATTTTCGACAGTCTTATAGTGAATGCAGACTTGATTCTGTCAAGGGGATTATATTTTTAAATGTATTCCACGAAGGATAATTTTAATCGCAATAACCGACTAAACGAGGACGAGGAAATTCATTTTATAATAAGTTATAAAATAGATTATTTCGGATCGTAGGAGGCCTTAACACGGATACTGGGAACTGGAGGAAACTTGTAATCGATAAATTCAGGGTCACATACCGGGAGCCCTTTTACATCATATACAGCCGCTTAACGTTAGCTACCCCTGAAAAAGCAAAAGAAATTCGCCTTTACTACCAGATGTTACAGTCGAAAATGTATTTAAGAGTTTTGACTATCAGCATGTGTCTAGTTGTCTACGTGTGTTGTTTCCCAAAGCTCTCTCCCTTTTTTCGCATGTTCTGTTTTGTTTTTCTTGATAAGAATATTGTGTAGAGAACGTTGTACTAGAAAGGTCGATGGTCCTCTGTGAAGGTTGTAGTGTCAATGAGAGGATTCCTATGTTCATGGCCTGTTGTCTTTACCCAATTCCATTATTTTTATCTGAAGATCGTAGATATTGTAAGGGTATTTGAACTCTTTAGTAGGTGACGAATAAGGTTTTATTTCTATCTAGTTTTGCTCAAGTTTCGTCTCAAGTGCGATATTTTTGTTTTTTATTTATATGCCCGATATTTTTATAGACTTGTTCTAGTTAGTACAAGAAATAAACATTTGGATTGGTGATGTGTATTCCTTTGCTTTTCGAACTTAATCTTTTTCATCCGACAAACTTAACAAGTCTCTACAGAGATTACTAAGCTTAACATATGCAGATTGCATTGCACTAAGTCTAAGAAAATAATGCAATGTTTTTCTTTTTTTTAAAAAAACGTTGCTATTAAAAAAACCCTTGGATTTTCTCCTGTGTCCTAGGTACGTTTACAAATATACAGTTTCACATACACATCAAACATAGACCCGGAAAAAATGTGAATTAAGGATTGCGCGGCAGCCATTGCCCATCCACCGCATCAACAGTGCAGTCAATACGATGGTTTGATCAAACCTCACCGTTGTTTTTCTTTTAATTTCAGTTTCCCAAAGCGACGGTGACCGTCGCTCACCGTAAGATGCGTTCGCTGCTAGCGTACTACGCGGATGCAGTGATGTCGGCGGCGGTTCGAGGCGCGGGCTGCGCGCTGGACTGCAGCGGCCGCGGGGACTGTATGAACGGAACCTGTCTCTGCGAGATACGGTACGCCGGGGAAGAGTGTGCTGGACCTAACATGCCTTACCATGCCTGTAAGTATACAACCACTAAAACATAAGTGTCCCGAACCAGGGGGTTTGTACTAGATTGACTCCAGCAAATATACTCGAATACGGATAATTAATGTCTTTAATTGGTATTAACTGTACGAGGTTAAGTAAAGCAAGTGAACGAAAACAGTCGAATTCTTCATCTTACTAATATTATAAATGCGAAAGTTATGATGCTTAGATGTTTGTTACTAAATCACGCCAAAACGGTTGGACGGATCTGGATGGAATTTGGCACAGGTATAAGATACACTCCGGAATAGGACATAGGCTACTTTTTATCAATATACCACTCGGGCGGAAGCTAGTAATTTATAGCTTTCGTAACAAGCGCAAGTTGATGCTAAGTAAATACCATCGATCGCACGAACAATAGGAGTATTAGTAATTGAAACTGCAAGGACATTGATTCGAAAACTAGACAAATTATTTGTTCCAAGTTCCAAGGATAGTAAAAGCAGCCAACAAATATTCTGATCAGATGTCTAGTTAGGCTACTTTCGTCAATTAAGCAAAGCAAGCTCTATACGGAAATATAATCCACCTATGGTATTGTGGTTGCCCCACATCAGGAAGTTATGCTCAGGTGTTTTTTGCTGGTTCGTTGTGTACTGTATAAACACACTTAGACCTACCTCAATTTAATCAAAAGCGTGTTGTTATTATGTTAATAAAGATACACGCCGGTCGATAGAAAACATTATAATAATATGTAAGAGCAAGAGGGCCTTCGTCAGAACTCATCTTATATGACGTATGTGAGTAGGTAGTTAGGCAAGTGAGAGTGAGCAGAGAAAACCACAAGACTTCGTTACAATGACAGTAATAACTTGGATGCAAAGCGATTCGCCACAAGCGTGGTGTGCGGACGCCATCTTGAACCAGATTTGTGTTCAGATCGTCCTCACGACCCTCGATCCGTAAGCGCGGGTCTGCGGACGGCGAGTAAGGGTAGCTCGCCGCCCGACCAGAACCAGACCCGAGCGTACGGCGCGTAGTGTTCCGCGCGCGCCTCAAAGAGCCAATGGATCACCACAGACGGGGCTCTATAGGGCTGATGTTCAGCCGGAGTTGCGGGTTAAGCGCAATGAGTAACCGCGGCCAAGGCCCAGAGCAGGAGAAGGAACGGGAGGGGTTTTTAGTCAGTAAAGAGTCTGACACTCTCTCTCGCCTTACCCTGGGCGGGAGAAGTCATTGGATTATTTTCCCCTGACAAAAAAATCCCTCGATCATGACAATTCGCTAGCCTAACTTTGACAGCCAAAAGTCAACCTGAATGTAGATAGAAGTGTGCACTACGTTTCTTGTACATAATTTGGGTGACGAATATATTTTTTCGCTGATCAAGTATTCGATTGGTATGTGTAAAATACCATTAGTCATACGCAATTTGTTAAATACAATCGATTTGTTAATTTAAATGCTTATTATGAGTGATTTATTTATTTTATGCGCAAAAGTGCCAATAACTTTACGGTTATGGTTAATATTGCAATAAGTATTTATTTTCATATATATTTATTCTGAGAATAAAGCAATTGCTATACCTTTTCTTCTTTCTTTCTGAGAAAAGTTTGCTTGTGTATGTTATTGGTAATCTAACGAGGTGAATTGTTGAGGGTGAAAAATACTATTGTAATACACATATTTCATATACTTAATTTGGTTAGCAATAGTTTCAGCATTATATTTGTCCGCATTATAAATGTGTAAGTTTGCGATAATGTACGGATGTATGTTTATTATTCGTGTAATCCAAGAAGTTGAAATTTGGTATATAGTTTGGTAGGTGATACCCATACACAGGTGAAGCCGCAGGCGGAAGCTAGTTAAAATTAAGACAAAAACTGTAAACAGTTAAAGTTAAAAAAAAAAATTCTTTTCCAGGAAGGGCTGATTTTTCAATGGTTAGATAAAAGTTATCTAGGGATTTATCTATCTTAACTTTATAGTACGAGAGCCCACGACCAAAATTTTTGTCTCATAGCAATACGACCAAAACCGCATCAAATCGATAGATACGATTATCTTGAACTCAAAAATACCAATATCAGAAATTTTCCGCGTAGCGTTTGATCTGACCGAATTTTCAAAATTGTCAAAGAATTTTACCGAACTGCATCATAGCAATATGTCTGATTTGCAGACTGTAGTTAAATGATAGATCTGAGATACCAGAAACATATTTTTCAGACGTTAGTGGTGTAGCGCAAACCCGTAAAAACACTTACAAAAATAAAAAATGAGACAAAAAAAATGTCTCATAGCAATACGTCTGAAAATCTTTTTTATTAGTAAATTTTGGTTATTTGATGCGAACAAAACAATTATCAGACGGAAATGTGAACGCATTAAATTTTGAGACCGTTTTGAAAATGTTAACAAATTTTACCGATCGGTATCATAGCAATATGTCTGAAAATTGTTGGACATGATAAAATAAGTTGTCCACATGTGCAAAAAATTTATGTCAGACAAATTAAGTGTAGCACCTTCTCTATCAGACAACTTTTCGATACCCAGATATCATTTAAAAATCGTATTGAGGCATCTTGAATTTTCTATTACAAATCAATGAATACGTAGCGTCCCTGAATTTATTAGATGATAATTAACAAAGAATTTACCCGAAACCGTAACATTGAAGTTGAAGGACTGAAATAATCGGTTAAATTTGTTGACATTTTCAAAAATGCGCTCAGGCTATATGCTACGCGCAAAATGTCTGAAAACAGGTTTTCGGTAATCATGGCAGCAATACGAAAAGTTGAAAAAAAAAAATTATCCGTATTGCTATGATACAGGTCGGCTAAATTTGTTGACATTTTCAAAAATGCGCTCAGGCTATATGCTACGCGCAAAATGTCTGAAAACAAACTTTTTCGTAATACAATTATAAAATCTATGTACATTTTCACTATCAGACGTATTGCTATAATACCGACTGTCTTTTTTTATTGACACAGCAGAAATGGCCTCCCACGCAGTTGCTACACTTTCGACCGTTACTACACGCGTAGTCGCGTTCAGAATCATACAATCTAACAATTTTATAGGGTTTTTGCCGTATTGCTATGAGACATGGTTTTGGTCGTGGGCTCTCGTACTATTAAGTTACATGATAAAATGATCAATTTATTTTTAAAATACGTTCCGTTGGAAGTGAGATTTCCTCTATAGATTCTAATAAAGCCTTTTCATCTTCCAGGTATTGGTGGCGTGTTCCTTCTGGTCGCGTTTGTGTGTGCGGTACAGCTGACGATATGCGTGGTGACGGAATACCGCCGGCTGAAGGCCCCCACTTTCCTTCGCGCCTGCAAGGTCACCACGCAGAAGATGCTGTACCTCGTCGCCTTCTTGGCTTCTCTAATACGTGGCGCCTACTTCGTGTCACCGGTAAGGATCTTATTGTTTTTTATAACACGCATTATCATTCTTTCAGCCACACAAGGGCGGCGAATAAGGGTAGCTTGTCGCTTGACTAGAACTAGACACTGGTCTACCACCAGTGTCTAGTTCTAGTGTTCTAGCACGTAGTGTTCATCACGCGCTTCAAAGAGCTACTAGATCACTACGGACGGTCCCCTATAGGGCTGATGTTCAGCCGGGGTTGTGGCGTAAGCGCATTGAGGCACAGCGGTCTCGGTCTAAAGCAGGAGAAGGAGCGGGGGGATTTAGGTCAGTAAGAGTCTGACACTTCCTCTTGACTCTCGCTTGAACCTGGGTGTTAGAAGCCCACAAGATATCATCTTATACCGAATAGAATTCAAGAGATTTTAGTACACAGGGTGGTAACCCTGTCTACGGAGTTTTTATAACTCTTTAAAGAACATCTGTGGTGCAAAAATCCTTCCCTGTTTCTTCTTTTCCGAGCTGGGCCGTGGTCTACCATGCTAGCGCAATGGTAGACCATTGCGCTAGTATCCTTAATCCCGGCTGGACATTGACACTGTCTGTTGTTGTCTAATGGTTCTTGGAAGACTTATACTTACTTACAATTACACTTTAAAATATGTCAATTTTACACTGGTACCTCTAATCGTTGTTCGAATGATAATAAGACCGACTGTCAAGATCGCGTTGGATCCAACACTCATTTTGAAAATGTGATGAATTTTCGGTGTTAGTTATACCTACACTGAAAATTGCAGTAGTATGAATTTTCGGATTTATTCTGGTTCGCTGCCTGCTTTGTAAACCAGGAATTATGTATATAAAGCTATTTTGTCAATAGCTGACATTAGGACAGTACAGTGAAAAGTACAATAGCCATCAATTGAGCTATTTGTCGTGATTGGTGAAATAAGTATGACAATTAATTTATGTTGTAATACTTTGATTATTATCTAAACTGATGTAAGTAAATAAATAATGATCGTTACATTATAAAATTAATTAAATATAATTTACGATAACAGGTATAATTTTGGAAAATATCTCGTGGCTCTATGACGGTCTTGCATCATTTGTGTCATGATGCAGTTTTCACAAAAATATTAATAGACCGGCCAAGGTCCATTTTGATGCCTTCCATTATGTAGCTTTTCTCTTTACCTTCATAAATAATGAATGTGAATTGATATGATGGTAAGCAATAAGCGGAGACTGGCAAAACCAGATTAGTAGCAAGTGCATTACAGGTCTTGCAGTTTGGATAATTAGAGAAGAGAGGAGATGGGGGATTTGTCCTCCGGTAGTCTCGTTCACACGGCGAAACACAACGCTGTGGTTGTGTCTCGCCGATTTTCTGTGTGGTCTTATTCGTACTGAAACATGACTCTCCCGCATTGAACTGTATTTTTTATTCCTGACAGTCAGGCCATATACCACTTACAGTGCTTTTTTTGTGATGGGAAAATCATCGAATTACTTCTCCTGCCCAGGGTCATAGTGTCAGAATCTTACTGACTAAAGACCTCCCGTTCCTTCTCCTGCTCTCGGCCGAGGTCGCGGTGACTCATTGACTTCATACAGTGCTGGAGCCTGAGCACAAGCGTGAAGACTCCTTATGTAGAGCAGAATCCTAGTCCAATAGAAATGAATGCGGAAAGACTATAAATGATCAGCACAGACGACAGTTTGAATAGTTGCTTGGTCTGTTGCTGTTAACCCGTTTATAAAATAAAATAGTACTACTATTATTTTTATCGTATTTTGCAATTTTTGTATTTCCAGTCGGCGTTTCAAGAGGGCTGGGCTACGAGCCTGCTCTCCGCTTACTATCCCCTCCTGTTGTCGGGGTCATCGCTCATCGTTTGTTTTTGGGCAGAGGTAAGTTCATTTTGACGGTTTTTTATTTGCGCCTTAAATTAATCCGTGTAACGAAGCTAGCTGATTGATGGCCAAAGTTATGTTTCCTATGGAGAAGAACGAACAAGTCGTAGTTTAAAAGTCATATAACAAAAAAGCTAGGCCCTTGACCTTTTTAAACGGTTTTATTTTTGTGTCTCAAAGTTATATGTTCAAGACATAAACATCTGTCAATCAACTAATTACCGTTCTGCAAAATATATTTTTGTTAAATCCGACTTTATTTCCCAAGCGATAAAGACTATTTCAATAGTCTATATGTTTCTAATGACGTGCGGATATTTAATTCTCAATGAGATTGTGTGGAACCGCTTCGTCAAATGTGTCCTTGAATGAAAATAGTACACGCCAGTAAATACCACAACACAACGCTGGGATTACAAACTATTTTTATTGTCGAAATTAGTCTGTCTGCAACTGAAGTACAGCGTCATCTATTGATATTGGCTTGAACTGCGTTCACATGTGTAACAACATGTGGGCTGATGTGGAACCTAAAGGTTGCTTAAAGGTAACGCTAGATGGCGCAGTACATGTGATGAAAATTTTGCGCATGCGGTGGATAGTTTCATCCGGTTGATAATAGATGTCGCTAGTAATATCCAAAGAAAAGGCAAAGAAAATGTATTTTGTTTTTATTTCTTTTTCGTATGTTTTCAACCTACCACTGCGGATATACATAATTATTATGAATCTGAATTTCCATGTGATAGGTGGTTTCCAAAATTTTGAGTCTAGGGCTTTTTATAAGTAGGTTTAATTTTTTTCTTGTTATTTCCCGCAACAGACATATTCATATTTGTCTTAATTTCTATGGAAGCGTGAACGACCACACGTGTATTGTTGTTGTACACATGAGAACAATGTTATAAAGTCGACATTTACACAGGTTGTTGGTTGTTGATTTGTTATTGAGCTATCTTTTTCTTAAGGGATGGTAGGAAAATTAAAAAAAATAAAACGTTAAAAAGCACTTTTTGTCTCTCGTTCGCATGCCATATCGAGCAAAGTATATTTAAAATCTCTGAACATAAGTTTTGGATGAGAAACTTAAAACGTGTGTTAAATAAAATATTTGCTTCTGGCGGCGAATCTCTTTTATCGACATTTCTATCTGTCCTTGTGTCTTTGTTTATCAACTCTATGCCTGGAAAATTGGATCTGAAACTACTTCTAAAGAGTATGAACCTGGGTGTCTTCAATGCTTAAGTGAGCAGGATGACTATGTATTTATTTCTGGCGATCATCTCTTATTTCATTATCCTTTCATTTCATTTCTATGGGCAGACCTTGTCCATCGTTGGACACATAACTAAGAACTAAAAAACCTGAATCGTCCTATATCCCACACAGTCACATGTTACCACATACGACACCTACAATAATAACGTTGTAACACCAGGTCGCGTGTAGATGATAGATAGTACCACACAGATTAGCACAGTATCACAATCTAAGATGTTATCAGCATAGTTATGGTCGCTCCCGTTATTTACTTTGACAATATTACTGTTTTTTGCAACTGTATTGTACACTTCTGCAGTGTCATCGAAGTTAGCACAGGTTTCGCTGTAGTTGGGTTGTCAACATTGATTATGATTTACTTAGAAACTGAATAAACGTGGAGAGCGAAGCTTCGACATGGATGGGTCGCCTCGACCGGAGTGATATCTCGGACTCACAGAAAACCTGTGTGAAACAACCACAGCGTTGTGTTTCGCCGTGTAAGTGAGGTTGCCGGTGCCCACTCCTTCCCCACCCCCCATCCTCAAATCCCCTATCCCTACATCCCTAATAACTCACAAGAGTCCAGCAACGCACTTGTAGTAACTCCTTTGGTACTACCAGTGTCCATGGGCGGCGCTGATTGCTTACCATCCGGTAATCCGTCTGTTTCTTTGCCGACCCATGACATATGATATAAAAAAATTGTCATATAGTACATCGTGTTACACGGGTATAATACAATACATACATATTAGATATAGACACTACACATAGAAGTTTTTATTCAGTATAATGATTTAGCAAATTTCTTCAAAAGATCCTTACCAACTTTCTGTTTAAATGTTAAAAGACGTCGAACTTTGTTCGTTTTGTAATAATATGTATCTTATTAATACATTAGTTAAGTCTGTTTTACATTTTGCATCTATTGAAACAGTCTAGGCAATTCTAGAATTATTTAAGTGTGGGAGAGCCATGCTTCGGCACTAATGGGTCGGCTCGACCGGAGTGATACCACGGCCTCACAGAAAACCGGCGTGAAATAACCACTGCGTTGTGTTTCGCCGTGTGAGTGAGGTTACCGGAGGCCCAATCCTACCCCTTCCCCAATCTATCCTCGATCCCTAAATCTCCAAATCCCTAATCCCTAAAAGGTCGGCAACGCACTCGTAACTCCTCCGTTGCGAGTGTCCATGGGCGGCGCTGATTGCTTACCATCAGGTAATCCGTCTGCTCGTTTGCCGAACTATTACATAAAAAAAAAAAAATTCTAGAATCTAAAATATTCATTGCTTCGACAATCGTAAAGCACGCTTGCTTTGGCATTCGCTGTTGCATTTCTGAGAATTCTTCTTTGTTTATTTTGACTTAAGGCTTCGTCGAGACACCACTCTGTTACACTCTTGCTCCTTTTTCATTCTTAGAATGCAAAGCCCTGCAAATGTTTAAGGTTGTTTACTTTTAAATAAATATTCCTTTAGTTTTTACACTTACTGTCGGTGTCACGTACTCTGGATAGCTTCTAATACCAAATAAATTCATTTGTGTAAATTATCTGCTTTTTACTTTTACCAGCTGCTTATGCGAGAGTAGTGAAACCCTTAGTTATCCAAGGCCCTGTTAAATTCAATTCATTCAAGCTGCTTGTCCAATTGTGGCTCTTTTATGCCTGTCGGTATCCTCTTTTTTCTTTCGTTCCTCTTCAATAAGTTCTTCCTCAAAATTCTACTAAACGAATGCCTCTAACAAATCTTCTATTATCGAAACCTGATTAGATTTAGCAACCTCTTGACCTTCGATACTAGTTCTGTGTTAGTAGGTCAGAGAAAAATTCAAGGTCACACTAGAAGAAGTCAAGGGCAAGTTCATAGGACATTTTACTATTAATGACCAGAGGATTCCCCTAGCTTGTAAATATTATACACTCGTAGCCATTGACGGAGTTAACCAAATAAAAAGACTTAAATATTTACTCAAGTAATGACTAACGAGCGTAGACATAAATAAATAATATGCCTGTCTGTACTCGAAAACTAATCGAAATATTTTGCGGTTGTTACCATGACTTTGAAAATAAAATACGTTGTGTAGTTTTTATGGCTTAAGAGTTAGTTTTCTGTATGTTATGTTAATAATGATCTTGTAGTTCTGTTAGGTGTGAGGCATTTGTTATTATACATGGACTAAATTACAAGATCCTCATCATCAGCCCGTTTTCGTCCACTGCCGGATCGATACAGACCTCTCCTATTACAGGCCACTGAGCTCAAAGTTCAGCACTTCTCATCCAACCTAGCAAAAGATATCGTCCGTCCAACCAGCTAATGAGCATCCTGCATTGTTAGCTTAGACGCAGTCTCCACTCTGGAACACGTGTACCTCAGTAATCGGTTGGGTATCGGCGAAAAATGTGTCCTGCCCACAGCCGTTTTAGTTAGCTTATCTTTTGGGCTTTTTTTTTGTGTGGGGAAATCATCAAATGACTTCTCCCGCCCAGGGCCGGGCGGGAGGGAGGGTCAGACTCTTACTGACTAAAAACCCCCCTGTCCCTTCTCCTGCTCTGGGCCGAGGTCGCGGTGCCTCATTGCGCTTACCCCGCAACCCCGGCTGAACATCAGCCCTATAGGGCCCCGTCTGTGGTGGTCTATTGGCTCTTTGAGGCGCGCGCGGAACGCTACGCGCCGTACGCTCGGGAGCTTATCTTTTGGGCTATGTAGACAACTTCAATTCTCTTTCGGATCATCTAGTTTTGAATTATTTACAAGATAACACTTAGTTAATAACATAATCTGTAGTTGCATAGTTAAAAACTACCCTGTAAATGATTTTCCTTCGACTTAATTCTTTAACGTTTCTCTGGATTTTCCACCTAGACAACAAATTACCTTCATTTGTATAAGTAGATACTAAATAGGTTCTGTAACCATATATTTCCTTTGTCTGCGCTTCCATGAATTATAATTTCATTAACGTAAATGGCGTACTTATTGTAAAAGAAACATGAGTGCAAGATGATCTCATTGATTTTATTGAATTTGCAATACCTTGTTGCTCGTATAATAGAAACAACAGATGCTTTGTTGTTTGTTTGTCCATCTTGTGTGTTTAATATATGCAAGTCGGTTATGTAAGACTAACTTTGTAATAATGAGATGACAATTCAGACTGACGATGATGTTCGGTGTTAAAGATGATGGACCTACTGATGAGTCATCATATGCTTACCAAGCAGGATGAAAATGACTGTTATAGTAGTATGATTTGATGAAATACACGTAGTAGTAGGAGATCGGTAATGAATATATTACCAAGATGAAATAAGGAATAGAAGATGATAAAGATTAGCAGGACGTGGCGAGCTTATTGTCAATACACGAAAAATAGAATAGGCAAATTCAGGTTCAAAGGACTGTTCTGGATGGGATTCAATGGGATACGATAACTGGACTAAAAGTAGTTGTAAGCTGCTCCAGAATAGTCCAACTAATAGCTCTGGAACATTTCGGCATTGACGCTGAGAATACTTCCTAATGGCATCTTTAGACTGTTGGGTAGTAGCCCACCAGATACAATTACTGCCTGGTCGAAAGATCACCTTTTCATAACTTACAATACATTACCACGTTTTCTCCCAAAGAACTGAATGTTTATATGTATGGATAGATGTTGTTTCCTTTTTCACGTAAAACCTATTGATTAAACGGATATTAATGAAATTTGGCACAGTGGTATATTGTAGTCTAGATTAACACATACTACTTTTTTAGTAAAAAGTTGTAATTCATTAAGAGACAGATAGTGTTACTAATAAATCATTATAACGATATAATTATAACCAAATAACAGTTTAATGTCAACACGTACTTCAGAATAACAAACGACTTTTACAAAGATGGACGCGATTAGTTTACTAACACCCAGTTTCTGAAAGGCTTGTCAATTCATTGATCAACTAACACTGCGATTAAATTGACATGACTGTCAAATCAATTTGAGTTTCTGAAACGTTGATCAGAGCATAATTAACTAATCTATGATTATTTTGATTTGACATGCGATTTATTTTTAATCATAGCCACACTGCTCTTTCTTGTTCAATAGTTCATTCTTATCTGTCAAATATGTTAATATTTAAAAAGTTACGGACTGTCATTGATGTCAAACAATTCTGCGAAATTCAAATATTAAAGTTACGATTTCAATAAAATGCTAATTAAACTTGCTTAAAATGGCATAAAGAGGGAAGAATTTCATCGAAAGGGAAAAACACTTTTTCCCTTTCGATGAAATTCTTCTTCTTTCTTTTAGAACCAGTTCAGAAGTAAGTATAAGTATAAACATATATTTTTTACCTATTGCGTTTTATAAACCTATTGTTGTATAAAAGTATAAAATATCTTTGTTTATAATTCACATCCTGCGCTGCAGCCAAGACTGATGTATAATACGCACCATGTTTTATTACAGATACAAGCTCATAATTGATAATCAGTGCACAAATGCTATTTCTACTATTAATAAAAATGAAGCTCGGGAAACCATAACGAATGAATTCAACAGTAATGCAGAAGTGCATTGAAACCAAAAACAGCTAATCACAGCCTATTGGGATTAAAAAGAACTACGAGACAGAATGTAGCCAATAAAAATGTAAGTTTTTCATCTAAATAAGCTATTATAGTGCCCATATACTTTTATAGTGTCCATACTAGCTAGTCAGAATATTGTAACTGTTACCAGATTAGGATATATATTAAATACTTGTCCCGATTTCTTAACTAAGTACCTAACAATGTATTAAGAATAATAATTGCAACTTTAATGAAATTTATTTACAGGTAATTCAATTTGCACATCAAGGAAACAATTTCAACATGAGAGGCAGGCACTCAGGAACAAAATAATAAGAAGCATAATGAAATAAAGTTGGAGTATGTAAATAAAAAAAAAGTTTTTAGAATATCGGTTAACTATAAAACAGCATATGTTTTGAAATAAAATACATTATTAGTATTTAATTTAAATATAAGTAAGTTACTATACTAACTAAATATGTATAAGTAAGATAATATACTTGTTTTTATATTTCAAGTGCTATATTATATTTTATAAAGATTAATTAAACATGTTAATAATATGGTTATTCTTTGTATTCACCTAAAAATACATACCATTCATATTATTTA